TCTAGTTGACTCTACGGAGTTGACAATTGTTGGAAGTGAGGGAACGGGGTTATATTACAATCGTGATTTCCCAACACGACATTTATGAGTCTCGACATGGCGAATGGATTCTGGGCGATGCGAATGACTGAACGTGCAAAGTTGATCTCTGCGTTCGTCTGCCCGTTCGGCCACTTTCAATGGCTCAGAATGCCTTTTGGATTGAAGAATGCGCCGTTAATTTATCAGAGCATCATCAACAACTGTCTGTGGGGATTCGTCCGTCTACCCCCTGAAGAGGAAGCGATGGTTGACCAGGAAGTTCTGGAGTTTTTGAATCTTGAGCCTCAAGAAGCCTTGAAACCTGAAGTGTATATGCGGGACTCAGCGATTCCTTCATCGGACATGACTGTATTCCGACACAATATCCCGGCTCCATCACAAATGGGTCCGGTCTTAGGAAGAAGCTCGTATATTGACGATATCGCTCATGTGGCGTCGACCTGGGACCGACTATGTGAGGACCTGGACGCGTTGTCGTACAGACTACGATACTGGAATATCTCTGTGAGCTTACCGAAAAGCGAATTCGGGAAGTTGACCATCCCATTCCTCTCTCATGAAGTGAGTGCGGACGGAATCAGGGCCTTGCCGAAGATTGTCAAAGGCATAGACGAAGATTGCCAAAGGCATAGAGGACTTACCTTTCCCGTCGACGTACAAGGGAGTGCAGTCCTTCTTAGGAAGTCTGAATTATTACAACAAGTTTATTGAAGACCTACCCGTAGTTGCCGCTGTGCTCTACGAACTAGACGAACGTGCTGGACGGAACCTGGAGGCCGCAAAGGAGTCTTTCGAGATACTGAAACATAAAATCGTGTCGACCCCGTTGCTGCGACATCCAGATAGAACCAAGCCTTTCGTGATCATTCCACATGCTAACCCGTGGGCGGCGTGTGTAGTTTTGGGAAGGAGCATGAAGGACTCATACACCCCGTACGATTTACTGGCAGAGTGTTGAAGGAATCAGAGCTACGTTACCACATAGCTGAGAAGGAAGTGCTCGCAATCTTGCGGACTCTGGAAGTTTTCAGACCTCTGATCCATGGATCATCCCAGTTGTGGTGTATACGCGCTACTCTGTACTAAAGTGGTTACTACAGTCTAACACTGCAGATGGACGACATCTGAAGTGGGGGCTGGAACTATCAAGATGGACACTGGAAATCCATAGGACTCAGAAAGATGAGAACGGCCTTGTGGCCATCCTTGGGTCTGGTATTACTCCCAGGGAACATTTAGATGAAGTTGCGGAGACCCTGATTCCTGCCAAGGGGCGTCTGAGAGTGATGCCACCAGTGAGTCTGGAAATGTTGGAAGCAGACTATGGAGGCTACGTTCTGAGTTTTGATGGCGCTGCGAAGGTTTCCACTCGCCGAGGAAGTTGTGGATGCATATTGTGGAAGCTGCCCGGATGGCAGGTTGTGAAAGCTGAAGGACACATCCTTGAAGGTGTGACGGTCAACGACGCTGAATACCACGGTTTGATTCTGGGACTAAAGCTCGCTATGAAGTACGATGTCAAGGAGCTTGTGGCAGTCGGTGATTCTCGAATCGTCGTCCAGCATGCTCAGGGTCTGATCAATTGCAACCAGCCCAACCTGCAACGACGTTTAGCTGAGTATGAGGATCTCAGGAAGAATTTTGTGTCGGTTAAATTGATTCATGTTAAACGTGAGTTCAACCAAGCAGCCGACTACCTGACCTCTAAGACTCTCGTGCTTGGATAATCCTGGGAGCTTGATGACCCCGATGAGATAGTGCATCTACGTCTC